GAACTTAGGAATAAAAAATTTATTAAAAGAAAGAAAAGGTATTTTGACAGAATTATCCGTATCTATGAATAGAAGAGTTAATTTGATTTCTTTTAAATATATTTAAACATTTATATAAACAATTTTTTTTTTTTTAAATTATTTTTTTAAAATTTATTTTTTAAAAATTTTTTTTTTTTTTTTTTTTAAATATTTTTTTTATTTTTCATTTTTTTTTTAATAATAAAAAAATTTTATTATAATATTATTTTTCTATCTATCTAATTATTTTTTTTTTTTTTATTAAAAAACAATACACCCAACATAGTTTTTTTTTTTTTTTTTTTAAATTTTAAATAGAGGGAAATACTTCATACATTGGGTAACTTATCATAAAAATAATAATAGAAAAAAAAAAAAAAAAATATTTAGAAATATTTTTTCAATAATCATTTATTCCCCATATATAACTATTTTTTTTTTTTAATTATAGTAGTTACGTGATATTTTTAATCACTACCATCTATTTTTAATTACAATAATAGTAAATAAAATCACAATCATAAATAGTTGTAGTAATATTAATAATATATTAAAATAATTCTATAGAGTCAATTTTTAAAAGATGAATAACAATGATATGGATTTTAAAGCAAAAGAGCTTCAAAGGCTTTTGGAGCAATTTTATCAAGGTGGAGACAGTCCAAAACATAAAGAAATTGGTAAGTACAAAATTTTCATAAAAAGTTTTATTTAAATAACATTTATATATATTTTATATATTTATATTGGTGTATTAAAATATTTGGTTATTGTGTGGTAAAAATGTGTTTTTATTGTGTGTGTGTTTTGTTTTTTTATCTGAAATAATTTCAAAATTTTTTTTTTTTTGGTTTTTGTGTGTTATCAATAAATATTAACTTTTTTTATTTATTTATTTCTTTATTAGACACTGTTTTAAATAATTATAAAGCCCAATCAGATTCATACGAACATGTAAAATACTATCTTACACATTGTGACAATCAGTTTATAATTTGGTTTTCACTTTCAGTTATCGAAGATAAAGTCAATAAGTCATGGAATAATATACCACAACAAGACCAAGTTAATACAAAAAATTTATTATTAGACATTTATTTAAATAAGTCACAAAAGCATAAGGTAATTCATAAATCTTTAGTGATTTTTTTTAGAGATAAAAGCAAAGTACTAATTTTTATGTTTTTTAGTCTTTACCAACTTTTATTGTTTCAAAATTAGGTCAAGTTATAGCAGATATAGGAAGATATGAGTTTGAAAAGAATCCACAAGGTTATCTTCAAGATATTACTAATTTAGTTAGAGTAAATATTATTATTGATTTTTTTTGAAAAAAAAAAAAAAAACATTAACATTTATTTTATTTATTTATTAAAGAACCCAATTACTAGTATTAGAGGTGTTAATCTCTTACAATGTATTTCAGAATCATTCACAACAAATAAAAAAGTAATCACACAACAAAAAAAGAATCAACTTAAAAAATTATTAACATTACACACCCCAATTATTATTGGTGTTCTCTCAGAAACTTTAAATCAGTTGTTTGATCAAAATGCAGAAAAGAAATTTAAAAATGCAAATTTATTAGCTTTTCAAGTAGGATCCCCAGACACAAATACATATACCGGTTCATTTAGTGCTGAAACAAAAATTATTACCAAAGCAGTTTTTGGTAAGCATTATTATTGCCTATCATATTAGTAATTAATATTTATTTACTAACTTTTTTTTTCCATTTCTTCAATAGATGCATTATTAAGTTATTTTTCATGGATGCCTCTAAATGATTTATTAACACCTAGTTTGATTGATATTTTATTTAAATATCTCAGATTAGATAAAAACAGTGTACCAGCATTAGAATGTTTAAATGAACTTTTATCAAAGAATTTAGTACCAAAAGGATTTGAAGAGTTTTTAATCAGAATTTTTCATCAAATTTATTCATTACTCACAGATATAACATCAAACAATGGCCAACAAATCAATCAATATAATCCAGATTTCATATCAAAGTTTACCCAATTCATCCAACTTTTTGTAACAAACCATCTCAAACGTGTAGAAACAAATCCAAATTTCCCAATTTCAGATTTCTTAGCATTACTTTTCCAATATAGTTTTATTCAGACAGATGTAGAATCATTTTTATTGTGTATCGATATTTGGTCAACATTCTTTGATTACCTTATAACTCGTTGTCAAGAAAATGGTATTCCTGCTCCAACTAAATATACCGATGGGTTATTGGTTTTTCAATCAGAATTAATTAAAAGAATTCTTTATTCATTCAGCAGAAATACTTTATCAGATATAGACGATGAAAGTGAAGAATTAAATGAAGTTAATATTGTAAATATCATATTTTTTTATTTTATTTTTTAATATTTCTTATTTTCTAATTTTTTCTTTTTTTTTTTTTAACAAATAACAGTCTGAAACACCATTAGAAAGTTATATTAAAAAGTGTATTGAGGTTGTTGCAAAAGTCACAGAATTATACCCAGAAAAAAGTTTAGAAAATTTGGTATGTATATTATAATCATTTTTTAATCCATTAAAAATACAGTTTATTAATATTTTTTTTTTTAGTACCCATTATTCACTCAAAATGTAACATCCTTCTTTTGTAAAGCTGAGGAAAATATTAAACACGGTTTATTTATGGATCAAAATGATGTACAATTACAACATTTAATTAAGGATACCACAACGATACTTCAACTCTTTGGAAGACTTGCTGATCAATTTGTAAATTCCTTTGCTCAAACTTTTAATCCAGCCAATTTCATTTTTCAAAAACTTTTAGATATGTGTTCATTCTCTACTTCTCAAAATACATTCAAAAATGGTTCAGATTGGGAAAAATTGTAAATATAAATTAAATAATTTATTGTATTTTTATAAAAATATTAATTTTTTTTTTTCTTCAAAATTTAGACAAATCCAACTATTAAATACTATAAGATCATTTTCATATTGGTTATCAGAATATGGTAACCAAGTAAGAGCAGTTGTTGCACAACAACCAGATTTTGATAATAATATATCAAAATTAATTACCATTATTGTTCCATTGTTTGAAAGAAGTGTTCCTGAAGAGATTTCAATTGCTAGTGGCAAATTATTAATGTCGTTAGTTGTTATAGCCAAACCATTAAACCTTTTCACCCAAATGGACTCAATTATTGGCAATATTCACAGCATTGTTAATCAATTACCAACAAATGTTCAAACTATAATTTATCCAGCAATTTCTTGTACTATTTTAATGCCACCATCAAATGTCAACTTATCACAACAAGTAAGGATATTGTTACTATTGTTTTTATAGCTAAAAGAGTTAATATTAATTTTTTTTTTTAACAGTGGGACCAAAGAAGACCAAAATATTCACCATTTATTAAAGGTATTACATCATCATTAATAGAGATTCAACAAATTCCAAGTTTTTGTGAAAATAGAGAATATTATAAAGATCAAGTACTTAGAGTTTTAAAAATAATGAAGGCAATCATCAAATCAGTTCCAGAAGCCACCATGGCAAGAGGTATTCTCCATGATGGTATTCAAGATACTCTTTTAATTATTTTATCACTTTTTAGAATTTATATAAATTATCCAGTAGTACTTATTACTATTTTAGATTTTTTCTTTTCATTATTTGAAACACTTAAGACTCAAGTCGGTGTTGTTTTTACTCAACAAACCATAACGTAAGTTATAACCACTTTCAACAAAAATACTGTGTTCAAAATATTAATTATTAATTTTTTTCTTTTTTTTTTAACTATAGAACATTTTTGGAGGTATTAGGTACCGAAGATTTAACCCAATTATTAACTGGATCAAATGAAACAGGTATTTCAATTGTAAATAAGTTATTAGAAATTCTTACATTTGTAGTTCAAACATCAGGCCATAATTTTGAAAGTTTATTAAATTCTACGGTGGAATATGCAATGGAAAAAATTTACCCAATTATCGCAAATAATACATCTCAAGTCAAACCATCGTTTTTCATACTTTTATATAGCATTCTAGATTGTCATTGGAAGAATTGCCAACCAGTACAAATCAACAAAATACTTTCAGCTTTTCAAACTACTTTCCAACAAAATGATGTAAATTTATTCAAACAAAATCTTGAGCTCTTTGAAAAGTTAAATACAAAGCTTAAACTTTATGATAAAATCGCACAAATGGAACCAGTTTTTGGATGTTCTTTCATCAGCATGTTTTTCGATGTCTTAATTTCAAATACTCAAAGTGTTCATACTGATGATATAATAGTTACAATTTATAAATTCGCCTCCACCAACTTTGATAAATTCTTTAACGAAGTAAGTATTTTAATTTGGTTTCTTCAAACCCATTTATAATATTTTTACTAATCATTATTTTTTTTTTTTCATAGTTTTTACACACCTTTTTAATCCAAAAAAATCAAATTACAAATGAACAAAAACAACTTTTAAGATCCAATTTTTCAAATGATAAAGATCAACCAACATTTGTTTCAAATGTAACTCAACTTATTAATGATTTTTCATACTTTACTTTTATTAATAGTTAGATAATTAATAATAAAATATTATATAAAAAAAAAAAATAATAAAAAAAATCAGTAAATAGTAAATAGTAAATTTAATAAAAAAAAAAAAAAGAAAAAAAAAGAAAAAAAAAAAATAATAATTATAATCAATAATTATAATTAATAATAATAATAATAATAATAATAATAATAATAATAATAATAAACAATATTAATAATAAATAATATTAATAATAAATAATAAATAATTATAATATTATCTTTATAAATAATACACTTCGTAAATATAACACATCCCTTTAATACCACACCTGTTAATAATTCATTTATCAACTATACATATTTCCTCCCTCATTTTATAAATTAATAAACAATAAAAATATATATATATACACCAGAGAATCAAAATAAAAAAATAATAATAATAATTTTAAAAAAAAAAAAAAAGAATTAAAAAAAAATAAGAGAATAATAATTCTCTCAAATTATAAAATTATAAATAAAGTTATCCATATTATAAAATCATTAGGAAATTTCTTAATTTTTATTTCATCCATTCTTTTAATTGTGGTTATATGGATTGGTTTAATTTTAAAATTATTATTTTTTTATAAGGAACAAAAAATACTATTATTTTATTCAAATATTAATTCAATATTTTCTAAATCTAATTTGAGTCCAACAAAGAAAAAAAAAAAAAGATGATATTAGTAAAGAGATACCTTATTAAAAAAAAATATTAAATTTAATATTAAACTTACTCTATCAAACAAAATTCCTTTTAATGCATTTTCACCACGCTTTTTTAATAAATAAACTATACCACCATCACTTTCTTCTTCTTTATTCGATCTATAAATTATATTTGAAGTTGATAATGATGGCGATTGTGGAAGGGTATGAATTCTTTTCAAAAATACCATTAAAATCCTTTTTGAAATAGGATATATCATTTTTCTCATGTGACTTTGGACCTTGAGATTCTTTAAGAGTTTGAATTGATTTCTTGTCACTTATATCTAAACCAACCAATAAACTATAATCACATATACCATGGCTCATCCATTCAGAGTCGATTGATAACTGTTGTATAAATACTTTTTTTAATTTACCCAAATGAATCTTTCTTTTTAAATTTAAATCCTTGAATGTTAAATCCTGAGTTTGATCATTTCTACTATTATTTGTATTCAAACTATCTGTACCGTTTTGATGGTGATGCTGTTGTTGCTCCTTTTCTAATTTTTGCTTAATTTTATTAACATCAACATATCTACCTATTGTTGAACCTTTTAAATCATATTTTTCTTTAATTTCCAACTTTTGTTCAGAATAGAAAAGATTGACCATTACAACAAATATAATATCTCTATGGGCACTATTATAATAGGAAGCACCACTTAATTTTAATTTACCCTTTAAGTGATATACTCCCAAGAATCTTGGAAGCAAAGAATTTGGATACTTTTTAATGTGTTGATAATATGATGGAAATAATTAAGTGAATGTTTCATACTCGCTTGATGGAATTGTTTTTAAAAAGTATTTAGAGTCCTCTGATCTATAGAAAAAACTACCACTTCTACCCACAGTTTGAACCTCTAAAAACTTAACAATATCAGATATCCCTGGGCTGCCTATTGATGATTTGGTTCTAAGGAAATCTTTGTCAACATTATAATATTTTCTTATTGCTTTAAAAACCTTTGGTGAGAATATTGTAAACTGCCATTTATCTGATAATGAAGATGTTAATGATGCTGTAGATGATGATAACTCTGTGTTTGAAGTGACTGTTGGTGAGGTTATAGTTGTTGTATTTAATGAATCTGTTGTTGATCTTGCTATTGCTGTTACAGTTGATGATGATGAACATTCAGATGTGGATACTGGTTGTAAAAGATGGAACATCTAAAAAAAAATAGTTAGATATTACTACAGATATAATATATAAATAATGATACCTACTTTTAAAACTTTCATATTGCTCTCAAAGTTTTTTTGTATGTTCAAAATCGGTTTCTTTCTTTCTTTCATCAAAAATTATATCGAGACCTGTATATAATTTATTTAATTTGTTTTCATTATATTTTATTAATTTCTCGAATGAAAATCTATAAATTTACTAAAATTTTGATTCTAAAATGATAGTATAATGTTAATATCAATAATAAACAAAAATAAATATATATTAAAAATGAACAACCTACACCATTGAAAATAATAAATGCAAAACACTTTGACTTTTCAGTAGTGATTAAAAATTATCGTTATCGTTTATCGTTTTTTGGATAATCGGAAGATTTTATAAAAAACGATAAAAATGGATAATCAAAAATAAAAAAACAATAATTCGACCTTTTTTATTGGTTGAAGTTTTTATTAATTAAAATGAAAATAATATTATATTATATTTTTAGATTAATTGTGATGTAAAGAAATAAAGAGGGCTATTATAAGCATCAATAGATAATTATCTTTTGTAAACAAAAAATATAAAAATTTAAAAAAAATTTAAAAAAAAAAAAATAAAATTAAAAAAAGTGAAAAAAATTATTAAATATAAAAAAAAAAAAAAAAAGAGGCATGAAATTTAATTTAAATATATATATGGTCATGTGTATTTGCATGGGTATATATTAGTGTATTTTAAATATAAATAAATAGTAATAAGAAATGTGTATTCATGTAATAAACAAATCTATTTTATAATATTGTATTTTGGTAAAAATAATAAATAAATAAATAAATGAATAAAATTTTTATATTTGTTAAAATGAAAAAGAAATTTAATAGTAAAGTAATTGTTAAATCACTTTTCTTTTTATTTAATTTTCTAATAATTTTTATTTTGTATATGATAATCATTGTTTTAAATTTATAATATTATAATTAATTTGGTTTATAGAAATATTGATTGGTTATAAACAATTGTACCCAGATCTTTTTTGTGGTTGTTTTTATGGTGAATGAACATTAAAGTTTAGTGGACTTCTAGAAGTGGTGATTTTTGATATTCCCTAATTTGGTCAATAATTACGAAAGCTTCAGTGTTTTTTACCTTCTCTTCATAAAACTATTTTATTTCTATCATAGCTGCTTGGCCAGAGCAAACTAATGATATTCATAAAATAGTTGATTAGATTGATTAACTTTATTAGTGTTGACTTGATATAAATATTTGATGACAAGCTTTGCATTACGACCACATATACTAAAAATACAACAGATATTGCACAACTTGGCAAAGTAGGTCCCATATTATTTGATGAGTTTGGAATATATACCACTTGATAACACTTTTTCTAAAACAGAGGTTGATGAAACATGATTCTAAACTATCGATATTCGATAGACTTTACTACTTTGTCCAGAGATTATTCACAGCTTGATGAAGCAGATTCGGTACTTTTACCTTTGATAAACATATAATCCACAACCTGGTGTAAAAGATTCTTAAGCACTACTTGATACAATGGTTTCTACACTTGATGAAACTGATTCTGAGCTACCAATATCATAAACTTCTCGAATCAGGCTCTGTTTGATTAACACTTGATAAAACAGGTTATAATACTTGATTTATACCAAATTTAATAAAAATTTGTGTTAGTATTGTGTTCATCTACGAATCCCATTTTTATATAGATTTGTTGTTTTTATTTTTAAAAAATTTGCTTATTTACTTACTTGAAGACTTTTTAAAGCTATTAATATATTTTTTTTTTGAAATATTTATGTGTTGAAAAAAAAGAAAAAATTTAAATTTTATTTTAAATAAAAAGAAATTTTAAAAAAATAAAATTTTTATTTAAAAATAAATCGGCTATACTGCATTGCTATTATGTTGAGTGATTATATATTACAACGTTTATAGTACTAAATATAATTAATTAAAACAAAAAATAAAATAAAAAGATTATTCTATTATTAATATATAGTTTAATATAAATGAAAATATAAATAAAGATAATATACCTAAAGTTATTATTTCTACTATATAGGAAAATACAACAGGGCGATAGCTATGAATAAATCTTGAACCAATTACATTTAATTAACTAATTGAGATACTATTGAGATACTATTTAAAATATTGCTTGGATCACCCTTTGACCAATTACTTTTACTACTATTTGAACTACTTGACCCACCAATTGAACTACTATTTGAACTACTTGACCTACCAATTGACTGATTATTTGAACTAACTTTTAAATTACGATGTACGCTTCCACGTGAACCACTACTACACCGGTTACTTGAACCAACTTTTGAATTACGATGTGAAATACCACTTGAATCACCATTTGAATTACGATGAGAATTACCACTTGAAATACTTTATTTAAAAAAAAGGTCTAAAATTTTTATATTAAATGATTCGGTTGAGCATCTTTATGTATGATTTAATCTATTATATTGGATTTATCAATTAATTTTTCTATATTGGAAATAATACTATCTAATTTTGGATTAGGGTTTGATTTTTTGAGGCAGCTTAAACACCATTTTATTGAATTGAGCTTGAGAAATCTTTCTTTTTTGTTTTGGATATTTGTAAAGTCGGAGAGCTTATTTGCAAAAAAACCAAGGGTATTTATGTAACATAGAATTCCAGAGAACTTGATTGATTCTTGAACTAGCTTTAATATAATATCCAATTCTTGGTGTTTATAACTACAACTTTGTGTTCTTTCAACAACTACTAAAATATTGGAAAAGAATAATTGAATCGATTGAGCATCAATTGGACTATTAGAGTTTCCACTTGAAATTAGCTTTTTATGGCTTAAATTGAAGTATTCCAAAACCATAACTAAATCTTTATATTCAAAAAATGGAATTAAATTAACCAAAAACTTCTTGACTTCAAAAGATTTTGGAGAATTTACTCTGTTAAAGAGATTTAAAACCATTTGTAAATTTTTTGAACGAATTGGACCACTAACTAAACCAAATAATGAAAAGATTGTGTCTACTATTTCATTTATAAGAGTTTTATTAGATGAATTTTGTGGACTCTTTGAATGTTCTTTTCTTGAATTACTAAAATAATTAAGAACCTCTATTGAAATATTAAAAATGCTATCGATTGCCATTTGTATTCTACTATTTAATGAATTAAAACCATTTTCATATTTAATTCTATCGAAATTGCCAAAAATTTTTACAACCCACACTATGTTATTAATTGATGATTTCTTTGGATCTAACAAAACATTGTAAAGTGAAGTTATCCACTTTTCAATGTATTCTAATGATTCTTCGTTGAACCATTCTTTGATAATAATTTTTGAGAATAATGCGCAAGCTTTATTTTTAGCAAGGCCAGTATAACTTTGATTTCCAGAGGTAAATAAAAAATCTAATAAATTGAATAAAATACAATCCTTTTGACCACAGGCCAATTTTTTTAATAAACCATCATCTGAGATATAATGGTCTAATAAGTTAATGGAAAATATTTTTTTTCTATTATTATCCAACTTTAATTCTTGGATAACATCAATTTTTACTGATTCGAAATTAACTAAAAAAATTTCGAAGTCGTTTTGAATAATTATATTATTACCAGTATATTCTTTCTTTTCTTCTTTTTTATTTACATTAACTTCTTTCGAACTATTTTTTGAGTAACTGGTTGGTTGTATATCGATTTCGTTACTAGAATGATCAATTTTTATTTTTTTTTTATCTCTTGGATTATCTTTTAAATCATCTAATTCAGATAATTTCCTTTTTAATGTTGATGGTGCGCTTGTTTTTGATTCTGAATATTTATTATTAATTTTGTCAATTGTAGTTGTAGTTGTAGTTGTGGTGGTTGTGGTAGTTTTATTTGTATTTATTGTGGTTGTATTGATATTATTATTGTTATTGAAATTACTATTGTTGTTGATTATATTATTATTATTGTTGTTGTTATTATTATTATTATTATTATTGTTATAATTACTATTAATATTATTTTTAATATTATTTATTATTATTATAATTATTAATATTATCATTATCATTATTTTTTGGATTAGAATGAAATTAATATCATTTATATTGTTATTATTATTATTAATATTATTATTATCATAATCACTATTGTCATTAATATTATTATTATTATTATTATTATTATTATTACTATTATTATTATTATTATTATTGTTATTATTATTAAAAAATTTCAAAAAAGAAATTAAAGGTGAAAAGAAACAAAAAAATTGAAACATTTTAAAGCTATGATATAATTTATGATTATGTTGAATAAATGATTTTATTTTTATTATAGGATATACTATAGTTATTATTTAATTAAATAAGAGAAAAAAAATTATTGTTGTATATAAATTATTTTTATGTGAATAATGAAATATAAAGCTTTAATATTATTTGTATGTGAATAAAAAAATTATGAAAAAATAAAAAAATGTTTATTTGTATTTTTTATTTTAATAAAAAAAAAAAAAAAATAAAAATAAAAAATAAATACAAAAAAAAATTTATAAAGAAAGAACTGTTTTGAAATTTCTAATTTTTTTATAATATAAAGAAAAATATAAAAAAAATAATTATAAAGTAATAATTTAGTTTATATCTTTTTTAATATTAATTATG